CACCCCGCGCACCTTGATGAAGGCGTAGCCGGCGCCGTTGTCTGTGATGGTCAGCCCCAGCGCGTCCTCTGTCTTGGTGACCTCTACCTCTTTGGTCTCGCCGCGCACATGGGCGAAGATGAAGTCCTCCAGCCCTATCTGCCCCCCCAGCAGCTTCTGCATGTCCACCTTGTGGCTGTTGAGGGTACAGAATAAGATCTGCCCGGGGAGGGGAGGGCGGAATGAGCCACGGCCCCTGGCCCCTTACGCTACTACGTCGTCGTTTGCCCCAGAGACCCAGGAGGGTGGAGAACCGGGTCCCTAGTGGTGCAGACCTGGCCCAGGCTCCCAGCAGCCAAGATCCCAGCCCATGTGGAACGGCAGGACTGAAACCCGGCCTGGGAGTGCGTGCCCGTAATTCCAGCACTGAGGGAGGCTGAGGCAAGAGGATTGCAAGTTTGAGGCCAGTATGAGTATCTTAGCTCGACCTTGTCTCAAAATAAAATAAAAAGGGCTGGAGATACAGCTACATCCCGGGGTTCGATCCCCAGTAAGGAAAAAAGGAAAAAGGGAGGAAGAAAAGAGGGGAGAGAGGGAGGGAGAGAGAGAGAGGAGACTCCCCAATAGGGAAGGATGAATAGGAGGAGGACTAGGTCCCAGGCCCCGGGACCCCTCTCCCATCTCCCAGACTGCTAGGATTAACCATTCAAAACCCGGTTTCTCTTTCCATACCCCCCCCCCGCCTCAAAAAGAAACCCCTGCTTCTCAAGGAGATGAAAATCTTCTGGGCCTCCCAGAGCCTTCCACGTGTGCGAGCTCACGCTGGGCAAATCCCCACCCGGGCCGAGGCCTTTCCACCTGCTGCACCAGGACTCCCCGAGGAGGCTGGGGCCTCTCCTGGCTGGGTCCCGGAAGGGCCCCTCGTCTCCTACAGGGCGCTCCCAGGCATCCCTGGCAGGTGGCATCTAGGATCTGAGAGGCGCCTCCCTGTGACCTGCAGACCCAGCCTGGCTCCCTCCCCCAGTCCGGAGATACAGGGATCAGGATCCAGGAATCCGGGATCCGGGATCCAGGAATCGAGGCTCCCTGTCCAGTCTCCACCCGTCTCCACTGGGGATCTGGGCGCCGCTACCCGGGGTCCTCACCTCGGTGGGCGCTATCCCGAAGGCCTCGGCGATCTTGGCGTAGAGCTCGCGGACGTTGCTGAAGCCCTCGATCTTGCCAGTGGGGCTG